TCAAATCCGTCCCATGGAGCGAGTACAAAATAAAACAGGAAGGAAAAACATTAACCCATATATCACACGATAGCAAGCCGAAAGAAACGTCGAAATGCAAAACAGGGGCGTCTCGTTCGAAGCTAAAAGTTTATATACAAGGACTGAGAAAAGACAAGAAAAGATTACACTCCCACACTCATCTCTCTCCGCTCTTTCTTCCTTCCCGATGCGGACAGTTCGTCGTCTCGCACCCACCAATGAAGTTGTCACCCCGCTTAATCCGCATGCGCCCGTCAGGCTCGTCCGTGCACCACAGTTCGTCGTGGCCTACATGTCAACCCCTCGCACTTGGCACCAGCTCGTCGGGTCGCCCAACTCCCACATCAACTCACCTCTTACTTTGCTCATTAGCCGACCCTCACTAATCGCGCTAACCTCGAGCTTCTGGAAATGTTTTAAGAGAGCTATCTAATCGCGACGACGAAATTTATAGCATGCATGCGTGCGCGAAGAGTGTGAGATTGCGAGGATTAGAAAGAGGAGAAGGGAAGGCAGTGCCTGCATTCTGCATGATCAGACCCCAACATGGGGGACGTAGCCACACTCCACGCATCGATCTGATCATGCAGCGCGTCGCCCAATCAGACGTAGCAAAGAAAAAGAAGGAGGCGGGAAGAAGGCGAGAGAGGAAAGATACAGTTACAATGACGCCCGCCCAAAAATTACAGTTTCATGCAAGATTAAGGCGCCGTCTAGCCAAAACTTCGTTCCCACCGCAGGAAGATGCGCGCAAGAAAGAGGCGACGTTCGGCAAGAAATTCAAAAAGTCCTAAATTCCTATCTGAACTCGAAATGACAACAGAAAAATTCCGATGAGACGGAAGAAAAACAAAGAAAAACGTAAAAGAAATCAAAATTTTGAGATCCCTCGAGGGCTCGTCATCAGTTGAAAGGAAAATTTAAAAAGAAATCTGGAAAGCTTCCGTGCGATTATCGCGCCAAAAATCTCAGTTCCCCCCTTTTGTTCTCAATAGAGCAAGAAAGAACCATCGCCAACCGTTGTTGATTGCGCCCAATGGGGCGCGCACACTCAACCGTCTGCGCCGGGCTTGTCTTGTCACCGCCGAAAGGGAAGAAGCGAAGGAAAAGAAAGAAGCGAGGACACCGATGCAATTTTCCCGCCGATCCCACCCCTCGTAATTTGCCCAACCCTCCCATCTCAGGACCCCTCATTGTCATCGCGCAGAAAGTCACGCGACACAGAAAGTGGTTCGTCACAACCCCTTGTTCTGGACCTACAAATTTGGGTAAGAACAAGACTAGTCTGATCGCAAGAGGTTTTGCCAGTAGTTTATAGGATATATTTAGTAATGTTATTGGTCTCCAATTTCTTATATCTGACTTTTCTCCTTTTTTGTACATCAACGAGATGATACATTTGGTCATAGCTGGAGGCAAGGTCTTACCTTCTAGTACCTCATTGAAGATCTTGAGTAATCCTGGGGCTAGTTCTAACCAGAATGCTTACTAAAATTCGATTGGCAGTCCATCTTCTCCGGGAGACTTGCCAACCGTCATTTGGTTTTTGGCATTTGTGAATTCCTTTAGGCTGATTGGTTTGTCTAATTCTTCTTTCTCAGTCTGGTCCAGGGCCACCTTGGTGGCTTCCCAGAAGGGAGCAAATGTAGTGAACGTTGGATCAGAATTAAGGGGGGGGTCTTCGTGATGTGAGGATATCTCGAAAATATATACACGCGTGTGCACACATCCCATCTAGGGGGTTAGCTAGGGGAGCTATCCTCGAGAAGGGTGAGAAGGGATGTGAGAATGTCTTCAAGCAGGAACATTGACTTAGCGTGAGGGCACAAGTGCGCAGCCTGTAGTTTGCATATGCTTGATTGATAAAGGAACCATTATTGGTGAGCTTTAAAAGTAGGGTGATTGTTGCATGAAAAAAAGGAGTATTTGTGTGTATGTGTCAAGATTAGTGTGTGTGTGTTTGTGTGGGTGTTTGTGTTTATCACATCTGTTAGTGTTGGAATGTGTGGGATTTAGGTGATTTGTACGGTATTTATGTATTAGATATTTGACATACCTTGATTCATAGTTGGTGTCGAGGCTGGTGGTCCTTGAATCTTGGTCCATATGTCGTATAGGTGTGTGCTTGAGTGTTTGTTGTTGTAAGTTCTTTTTTTTTATATTAAATAAAGTTGTTTTGTCACATGTGACTCACTCAATCAGGCGCTGAACGTGTGGGGCGTTGAATACGTCCACGTTCAGACACATCTGTTTGCACTCGCAAATGCAATGCAGGTGTGTCGTTTCAACCTGCGGCCAAGGCCGCGCCCTTTACGATTGAGACTCTTCCACTTTTCCACTTTTCCACCCTGCCGCTGCTTTGCCACCGTTTCGACTAAAACCCAGCACGCGGTCCCACAGGCAGCTACTGGTCCCGCATTTTTCAAAGAAACTGCCACCCCCCCCCAAAGATCCACCTTGCCGCTGCTTTGCCACCGTTTCGACCAAAACCCAGCGCGCAGTCCCACGGGCAGCTTCTGGTCCCTCATTTTTAAAAGAAACTGCCACCACCCCCCAAAGTGCCGTGCCTGCACCTGCCTGCATTTTTTGAACCTTCCAACGACCAAGCGAGCCTGAATCAACAACGACAGGGGGGGGACTTCTCCTCTATCCTACCACTTACCTTGGTACAGCTCAATTTCCAACCCAAGAATGTATCCCCCAACAATCGTATAAGTGTAGTGCTTGTTCAGCTTAGGGCTTGGTAGACTAGTATAGATTTTGAACTCCAGTTTTTAATGTTGATGACATCCGGTTCCTCTGGGTGCCGTAAAAAGCGAAACTGGCTAATGCTGCCAGAGGTTCGATCCGGGTTGAATTGTGGGGTCCCCGGCCCCCGTTACCATTTGTTTTCGAATACAAACAAAAAAACAACAACGACAGGGGGGGGAAAACGCACCCCCTGACGGGCTGCAAATTAGTTTTCGAGTCTTTTCAACCTGGTTACCTGGCCGCAGACCTGCACGTGGTCGAAAACAAGTTTATTTTGCTTCTAGTGGGGCATACCCCCCCCCCCGATGTGCGGTGTTCGAATGTTCTGGGTCGCGGTGGTGTGCTGGGACACGAATGGATACCTGTTGTTGTGCACGTTGACCTCCGTCAGTTCCACATACAATTTGGCGCGGACATCGGAGCGATGTCGGATTTCCCCAGGTGAAATCGGGCTTTCATTGTTTGCCTTTCGGCCGCGGCCTATTCAGCCGCGCCTGCGGAAAGTACAGCTACAGCCAGCTGGATGGTCCATCAGTGGTGGACGCACACTTCCACGCGGCATGCTGTTCACCTGAGGGCCGCATGGCTCCACCAAGTTGGACCCGGGTTGATCCAGTTGTCCGACTCGGCACGGTTTAGGAAGCGTCAGCTGCTCGGCCCCCACTTCCCGCAACTCCATTTATGGCTCTGGACTCAGCGCCTTGGCGTGGCATATAATGAGGACACAACACCTCGCGCTCTGAAAAGAGCCGAGTGTATCATTCCATGGAAACAGGGAGGATACACTTCAGTCGCCAGTTTTCACATTTGGCAAGTGGCTGAGCGAGGCCCATCCTCCCGGATGCATCTGACAGTGATCAAGTCCACATCCGGATGAATGAGTCCGTTCACAGTCCGCGCATAGCGCCGTGTTCGGTTCGGTAGTTTTGCCGCGCCGAACTGCCGCGCCGAACTGCCGTGTTCTTGCGTGAGTCGACGACGTCCAAACTACGTAGCGGCGGGAAAGACGAGGAAGAATAGGGTGGGTAACTGCTTGCACGGTTTGTTTGCAATTTGGTGCAACACAATGCAACCGAAAGTGAACAAGCGCTTACGAAACAAAAGAAAAGAAAAAGGCACGCACATACGGAAAACATAGAGGTTGAAATGAAATTGAAGCTTGAGGGAAAAAAAAACAAAGAGAGGAAGGTGAAAAAAAAAGGAAATGAACGAAACAGGCATAGAAGAGGGAGTGAAACAGGAAAGTTGGGCAGACATTTCAGCACTCTCGTTACAGGTTATTGCCGAGAGAGTTCCGCTAGCTTTCGGGTTAATTGCAGCGAAGGCTTTCCCCACTGCATGAGAAACTTTGATGCGGGGCGCGTGGTGGGGTGGACAGGCAGATGGGCGGCAGCCAGTGGAGGGAGGGGAGGGGGGTGTTGTAGGGGTGTAGAAGGGGTTGATTATTCATGCGCCAGCAGCGCGCCGGCGGTACTGCATGGTGAACAGCCCATCGCACTGATTCTCCCCGCTTCTCCCCTTTTTTCCCCTTTGACGAGGGTCCTGGCGCCTAGATGCCGCGCGCTCGCGCCCGGGAGGGGTGTGGGATGGCCGGGTCCCTGGGGAGTCCGTGTGGAAGTGTGTGCCGCAGCGGAGCGCAGTGTCGGCGGAAGCGGAACAACAGCACTGACAGGGTGGTGACGGATCAGGCTCCGGGAGAGGCCCTTCAGCCCCTGGTCGGTGGGTCGGCTGGCAGCCCAACCGAGCGTCCACGAGGGCCGGGGCGAGATAGAGCAGACCGGCGAGCAAGCGGGAGGACAGTACTTCTGACGTAGGCTGACCGACGGATCGATAGGTGACCTGGATAGGAAAGTGTAAAGTAGCGTAGATGACACAAAAAGGTTTTGGGCTTTGGTGGCGGGAAGGAGGAAGAGGTGGAGGACGTGAAGCGTCTGGGTTCTCTGATTTGGATGGGAGGGAGGCTGATCATTTGTTCTCTTCGTGCCGTAGCATGGACGGGAAACACCGGGAAACACAGGCGGAGGGAAACACCAGGAAACACAGGCGGAGGGAAGCAAGTGAGGCATGTGGCAATCAAGGGAAAGAACGGGCGGGACGGACGGGCGGGACGGAGAGGGGGCTGTGCAGTGATGGTGGTGAACGCAGGGGATTGATGTCCGGGGAGAGGTGTTGCACAACACAGGGCGGCAGGATGTGCAAGGAGAGGTGGATGGTTGAGCGGAGAAGGGCGGATTGTTGATTACGTTGATGGAAGAAGAAAGAGGATGACCGGGGACTTGACCGGTCGTCAATGGGATATACAGTACAGGCTGGAGATAACGAACTCGCAGGGGTGCGTTGGAGACGGACGGAATGCGGCCTGGAGGAGGAATACTGGCTTAAACAAAGACGGAGTTGTCCCTTCTGTGTACGTATGCTTCGTGACGAAGACGGAGGTGTTTCTGCGGAGATTGATTTGTCATGCATGTGTGCGCGCGTGTGTGTGGGGGGGGGGGCGCGTGTGCGTTTGAACATGTGCGCGAGTCTCTCTGCGTGTGTGTGCGTGCGAGTTAGGAGGTGGATGTGAGTGCGTGTGTGGATCAGGACCTCCTCGGCAGCTTCCAGAGAGCACCTGTTGTCCTGGCCCTCACCCGTTTGCGTGCTCAGAAAGCAACAGTCGTGCTTTGCTAAACCAATTGGCGCTTTACTGGCGCCGCGTCGTCGCCGGTCTTTTCTAGTCTCGGTGCCGCCTCCCCGATTCGCCGTCTGCTATCCTCTCAGTTACCCTTGCAGCGGAAAATTCTGCCATTCGCACACTTCTCTCGCATTAAATACGGTCTTTGTCTTCCTCCACTCAACCGGCCGCGCGCAGAATATTGCCGAAACCCGCTGAAAGTTACGCAGATGAGCAGCGCCATAGCGCGCACGCGCGCCGCGCGCTCGCTCGCTCGCTCACACACGTACACACGCTTGCACACCCACCCACACTGACACACTGACGCACATACACACACACACACGCCCACACAGACACACACACACACACACACACACTCGCACATACATACAGAGACAGAGACACACAGAGAGAGAGAGAGAGAGAGAGAGAGAGAGAGAGAGAGAGAGAGAGAGAGAGAGAGAGAGAGAGAGAGGAAATATACGCTGTGTAAGGTGCAAGAGAGCCGAGTGCCGAGAGCGAGGGTGTGATCTCAGAGAGCGAAGCAAGGGACTGGCGACTGGTACGGGCGTTGCAAAGGCAAGGACAGCGACATGTAAATTTTGCAGCCCCTTGGCGCGATTGCCTATCACAGCATTGAGCGGCCGTCTTAGACTGTCTTCTAAGGTATGCTACCGCAGCTAGGTTGGACTTGACGCCGGTGATTCGCCCGGAGAATACATGAAGACGACCGCTTGGGGGTGGAGAATTGCGATGGCGAGGGGAAAAAGGCACGGGATACCATTCCGGGGGCGGGTCGGCAATTGACAGAAATCGTTCGGCTGTCACGAGTCATCCGGGTGTCCTCTGCCTCATCGGAATGGGTCGAAATCGATCAAATGATCGCCAGTAGCGGTCTGGCAGCACCAGCAGCCAATGTACTGACAGGTAGCAGACGGCGGACATATCTGCTGCTACTGCTAGGACGACCCAACTGAGACGAGCGGCGGGCTCGGGAAGTCATGTGCGACAGATCGGTTGGCCACGCCATTCACATGTTCTTCTGCTACGTAGACCGCCCTTAATTGTAGCGCGCACACCCTCTTCTCCTTGTATCAGCGAATTCCAGTTTCCTCTCCCCGACTGCTGTCTTCGTTCAACCGCAGAGCGAGATGCTCGGTCTGGAGTCATAGGATGGTGCGAGGGAGAGAGGGGGCGAAGCGATAAATTTTATGCCAACTGTGGAGAGCAACGAGCCAGCTGCTGCTCAAGTCCGAGCTGCGGACGATTCCACCGCGGCTCTCGGAGTCCAACTCGCGAGTGCGTGAGTTATTTTCAGGCGCCATGCCTCCTGTCGCCGGGCAGCGGTCCTGCTCCGCGGAACATCCCAACTCCGTACAGGTTCCTATTTCCTCCCTTCCACCCAATCTCCCTGCCCCGTTTTATCCGTTAATCCTTCGTTCATTTTCCTTCTGCTCTTCACTCCCTTCTCCTTCATGTCCGTCCCCTTCTTCCCCTCCTTCCTCCCATCTCCTCAGGTTACCCATCACACCTCAGTGCGACGCGTCTATGTATGCCGACTCTTGTGACCTGTCCCCCCGCCCTCCCTGGGTTCACCCCCACCCACCCGCCTAGTCTCTCTCCCGCCCTGCGTTGGCCTGTCCTTGGGCTCATTTGGTTGTTTTTCCACGCCGTCTTGCTAACCTCGATGTTCACTGCGCGGTACGATTCCAAAACTCAATCGCGCAAAACGAGATCAGTCTAGAGTTGCATTACACCCCTCTCCCCTCCCCCGTCGTGTCTACTTTTCTGTCTATATATTCATCTATCTCTCTCTCTATATATATATACACACTCACAAACACATGTAAAAAAAAAACAAAAAAGAAACATGTATATATACGACTCTCACACCTGCTCTCTGTCTTTGCGTTTGAAAGTCAACTTCTCCTTTTTTTTCATTTTCTTTCATTTTTGGTCTCCGTCACTGCCGGCTTTAGTGTCTCGTGGTTGTATGGAAGGCATTTCTTCGTCTGTGTTACTCTTCTTCTCCCAATCTGCGGGTAGATCTCTCCCTCTCTCTGTGTGCGCGTCGCCCCTGTTCTCCGTCTAGTCGTGCCGCTTTCTTTCCTGTTCTTTTCTCTGTCACTCGTTGCGGAAGAGGGGGATGGGCGCACCGTCTTGCTCTCCCACGCGCTCTCCCACGCGGTCTCTCTATCTCTCTGCGCCATGCACCGGATTCTATGGTGCACCGATAATCCGCGCCTCTGATAATCGCGACGGTGATGGCCGCGATTTTCTCGCCGCGAGTCGCTCTGGAGATAGATGATTGGTTTCTAGGAGATCATAGGCACACCGCTGTCGGATTCCACCACGTGTCCATTTCCATATCGGCTGAGGGGCCCGGCCTGTCTTACGCTCGCGCAGTCATTACAGAGGTGCTCAGTGGACCGTAGATCGATCGACTGATCGGCCGGCCGACAGATCGAAACCGTCCGCCGGGCCGGTTACTATCTAATGTTACTCACTGTGTCAGCTTTTTCCAACTTTTTACGATGCTTACACTTCTCCCGGGTAGATTTCACCTCTCCTCTCCTGCTGGAACGATTCAGCCCTCGTCGTGACTCCGACGAACGGTCCCCCTCCTTTGATCGTCCAATCAAGCGACCGATCGGCACAAATATGACGGGATGAACCGAGTTGCTGAACAGATGTATGGGGTTCTATCAATACCTGGGATAACTTGATTGAAATGTTCCTAGGAGGGAAAGGAGTAGGTCTCGCAAGCGGATAAACACAGAGGGACGTGCAGTACGTTGTTTGTACGGCATCGGATAGACATTCAGCTCATCTGCCGATCCTGCAGTGACGGGTTACGTTTAGAGATCCGCTCAGACCACCTCACGCCGTGATCATCCTTTTTTCTTTTCTCTTTTGGGTCGAATTTGCAATTTCATAGATCCACCGACCACCCGTCCAGCGGGTCGTTATCCTGAGCTGATGGCTTATGGAAAACAACTCCAACTATGCTTTCGCCACCTTTCTGGTTGAATTGGTGAATCTATCGAGTTGAAGATTAAAATCCAGAGACGGTCGATGGTGTCCCTTTAACAGCCCTTACGTTACAAATAATACAGTATATAACCCGCCTTCTTCTCTTGAATTGATGTACCATAACGTGCCGTTGCTTCATCCTCTCTCTCCTCACGGGAGTTTGGACACGTTTACGAATGAAAAACGTTCGATGTATGCACTAATAGAATCATGCTTAGATAGCCGATGGTAGCGATGGGGAGATGAAATGGACGCGTAACAATTCGTTTGTTCACCTGACGCTGACAGGAAAAGAAGCGGAGGTGTGTTTGTCCCGTCAGTCGATCGCTGATCACGCGATTTTTTTTATTTTTATTTTTATTTTTTGTTTTTGGAACGCTCACCTGCGCGGTCTCTCAGAAAGGAGGGAAATACTGTATGTCGATCTGATGATGATAATACTTTTCTCTCGTTCGCAATTGATCACCTCGCACACCTCTTCGCTGTCCTGGTCTTCGATACACTGTTAATTAGTGTTTTATTATGTTCTTAACACCATGAAATACTACTACTGCACATAAATAGCTCTGTAATGGGCAAGTTCTTTCTCGGTTTGTGCTTGTGGCCCTTGCGGCGGCGGCTATAAAAATCGTTGCAATTTTAACACGTGTCCCGAAGGTGGCAACTGAAAAAAAAGATTTTTTGAGGGCGCTTTTTCCAGGAACATATTTTTCGGGCATTGGACCTGCGAACTGAAAACGCAACCTTTTGATCGGAAGTCAGACGCGCTTCCATTGCGCCACAGCTCCTGGACGAAGGCGCTTTTTCACAAGAGCGCGGAGGCAGAACTGAAAATTGAAATTGAACTCGAAGACTTTGAAATGGAGTTGGGAGACGACTGCCTTTAGGGGAATGGAGATTGGAGTCTCGCAGGCGGCAAACGAAGGAATTGAACCGGGAGGGCGCTTTTTTACAAGGGCCGGGAAGCAAAAATGGGAATTGACAAAGACACTCAAACAGGGTGGGTGTGATCGGAGGGGAAAGAAAAAAACCGTGGATTTCGGAGACACGAACCGGCGATGTGTTCCCTGGCGGGATTTTAGTTTTTTGGAGCTGAATTGGATAAAATAGTTGGAAACAGTCTTGTGTGAGCGGATCTAGTGCATCTTTTTCTCCCGGGAATATAGGCTTTTATGGACTCGGACCCGAATCCGCTACAACTCCGAAGACTCTCAAGCGAATCCGTCCATCAAAATGCGAGTACGCTGGATTAGTTGACCAGCGTTCGAATGAACTTTTCAATTCTCAACGGAATTTCCCTGAGTTTTCAGTTGATAGATGATGTTGTTAAGGTGAGTCCCGGCGAGTCGAAAACTGGAGGGGGCCCGGGAGAGATGGAGAGAGAGAGAGAGAGAGAGTAGCCAAACAGATTGCATAGTGCGCGACAGAAAAAAAGAGAACCAAACACGCGCGCGCGCGCGAAAGAGCGCGAGAAAGAGAAAAAGAGAAGAGACGTAATGATAAATGAAATATAATCCAACAGTGCGCGGATGGGCAGACAGTGAGTCGGATATAAACTGAATGGAATAAAATTGGATGGGATTGAAACAAGGGCTCATTAAAATATAGCTCATCGCGCCTGCTGTTAATGGAAACGGATAACGATGGGATGTGCATTCTTATGACGTGAATTTAAAAAAGTTACTGGAATGGAACGAGTATAGCTAATCGGATCGCACCGCTCGATGGAAGGGGTTTCTTTCAGTGGACTTAGCCTACTGACTTAGCCTACTGAATGGAACAGTGTCGAACTTGGAAATAAGGGGGCCTTCCATCTTTCAGTGGACTTAGCGTAACTGAATGGAACAATGTCCAACTTCTTGGAAATAAGGGGGCATGAAGTCGTGAGCGAAGGGATTCAATTTCAATTTCACCGGCGCTGAGTGGAACGATTCCACTGAAATTTCTCTGAAAGTTGACTGGAACTGAAGTCTGAACTGAACAAAGTTCAATTTTCGAAATCGAGTTGGACATAAGGTGTGTGTGGGAATCCGCGAGTGGTTGTTGAACAGTTGTCCGCTCAAATTGAACTGAACGGCATAATTGCGTTTTGCTACCCGCGAAAAAATCGTGAGCACGCGGGGTAGGACCTCGCGCAAGCGATTCGAGTTGACTGTAGTGCTGGATTGAGCAATGTCCACTGAATGAGAGTGTTGGGTTGATTTGAAACTGAGTTGGATCAAAGCGCGAATTCGCAAGCGAACGAGTTGCATTGAAAATCGGAGGGAGGGGTGGAGAGAAATCGTTGCTCCCGGTTGCGCCGACGAGAGAGTGTCGGAAAAGGAACAAATGGTTTTTAGAAACCCGCCGTCATCGCATTGAAGGCAACTTTAGGAAAGAAAATGAATGCGAAAGAATTTATTTCCGAAAACTGTCCGATTGCCTTGACATGCTGTCGAGTTGGATTCTTTGCCGACCGCCCTCTCCCACCATTTCACTGCGGCGACGCAGGGGAGATGCTAAAAATAATGTAATGCTCTAGGCTACCAGCTAAAAATAATGTATTGAGATTCAAAAAAAAAAGGTCGGGTCACCTTATTTTCCCGGGCGGCCCGGCCGTGCAAGGACCAGGGAAGGTCCCGGCCAAAAAGAAAAACGAAAAAAAAAAAAACGAGAAAAAACTATGTTACGCAGAAAAATAAACTGAACAACTTTTGCCCCAAGGTCACATCGAAATTCTTTACTAAGTTTAAAATAAAAATTTAAATTAAAAAGTATTTTTTTTTCTTTTTTTCTTTTTGGCCCGGTCGGGCAAGTGGACCCGGGCCACTCTGGTAGCCTGGGTTATGCTGTCGCCATGACAATTTTAGTCGTACGATGTGTGGTGGTCTCGCGTTCCCCCCCCCCCCCCCCCCCCCCCCCCCCCCCCCCCCCCCCCCCCCCCCCCCCCCCCCCCTTCCCCTCCTTCCTCATCGGACTTGCACTCGAGTTGGCGTCGTGTTTCACTTTTTCATGCATCGGTCAGGCCAATCGATTTTTTTTAAACCAAAAAAAAAAAAGAGGAAAATTCGAACTCGTTTGACTGGTGGGAATCGTGAGATGATACGGGGGTAGTAGTTCCGCTCGCTCGCGGATGCTGTGCTGCTTGCGCACTGATCGTACAGGAGAATGGTCCCGTGTTTTTTCTCTTTTTGCTCATCCATGGAACATTTCTCGATTTATGCGTGACACTGTCATCCTCGCGCAGGGGCCCTGCTAATCTTTTCTGTATCGTTCCAATTTATCGTGTGTCCCGAAGGACATGGTCTCGTGTTTTGGAAAAGAGAAGATAAGAAAAAGCCGACGAGTTATGCCGAGCACAGGTCAAA